CGGCCCCAGCCCTCGGCGCCGGGGCCGTGGGCGCCGGCAGAACCTGTACCTGGCAGGGCGGAACAGACCCCGCGAGCCGGGCGTTCGGTACACCCTGTCATAAAGTGAGGAGGTCTAATTGAGCTACGGCTCTCTATCCTGCTATTTGTACAAATAAAAGACCACATCTCGATGCAAAATAAACACAAAAGCGCTGTTGTGACTATAACAGGGAGTCATATACTAATTTATATAATAAGTGGTTGTGCACGCTTTATTCAAGATTATGGCTGCAAGAAATGGCATGAATTGCTGGGTGTGTTTAATGCTGGATTATAGCAATTTGAAACATGTCAAACACATGGCTAATGCCTCATGCTTCACTCATTCTTGCGTAAACCTGCATAGCCACCATCCATTATACCCTTGGTAACAACACAATTCTGCAAGTAAATATTGTTACACTAAGTAACCTTTCAATTCAAGTTGTTTAGGAAGAGAAAATGCAATCTTGTGCAGTCAGTTCCAGTGTCAGTTTAATGTTTCAAAAGGGAAGTGGTGTAGAGAATAAGTATCTGTACAGTGACTCGCCGGCTTAAAACACACGCGCGTGCACGCGCGCAGAGCAAACGTGCAATTCACTGCAGGGGAGAAAAGTAAAACTGTAGCTTCTAACTTCACAGGGCCAGTATTTCTTTTCTGGTGCGGGTGATTGCCTGTGTACCCTGGCAGAATTCGTCATTCAACCTGCAGTGCAACCACACGCTGAAATAATCTGCAATTTCATTCTCTCTTGCAGAGAGCAGCAAATATTTTCCCTATACCTTTGTTTAAAAATCCTGGCAGCAGAGCTTGTATCTCACCTTTGGCAACCAGAGTTTGGGAATCACAGCAGAAGTAGGTGCTGGTGAACGTATGTCTGTGAGTGTGGGTCGGTGTGTGCGTGCGTGCCTGTGTGGGCGCGCTCATGACTGACAGCGAGTGTGACAGCAGGAGAAAAAGAGAAGGATTAGGAAGTGTGAATGTGTATAAATGTGTGTAAACAGGGACCTGTATATTTTTTTCTTGTCCTATTTGAAATACTAAACTTTCAGCCTTAGTATCTGGCAGTCATTTTATTTCCTCTGTATTTATTTATGATTATTATGCTAACAACCTGCACTACTGTTGTAAAAGCAAGGAAAAAAGTACGTTAGTTTGTTTAGTAAGATGTTGCGGGTTCAAATTATTCTGCCACCAATAACTGAAATTACTGATACGTAGATACCAGAAATGATCCTCATTTAGATGTTTTCAGTGCTTTAATTTGTGAGGGTTTAGAGTTGATAGTACATACGCACCCGTGTATAGATATACGTGTATACGTGTGTGTGTGTGTGTGTGTATGCAGGAGAGAAGAGGGGAAAAGAAAAAGATGCTGTGCTCTTGCTTTTTCCAGCAGCCCTTTTTTAGTTGCCGGCGGTGAGAAGGGGGCTGTGGACAACCAACACAGAGCATTACTCAAGCCAAAGTTTCAGTATCGTTTTTAAAAATACCCTTTTACAACTAGAAAAAAACCTTTTATTTTTAACATAAAATTCTAGGGACTCTTTCTTCTTCGTATAAATACTTCGGTATTTCTTCCACTTCACTTCCAAATACATCACCCTTTCTAGTATTGATGCTCTGTAGTTTCATTCTCTCTGTTGGGTCAGATTTGTTGTTTTCTATTGCCAGGGTAGTGTTACTGGTCATGTTATGTTAAAGCCGATTCTGCTGGCTCATAGACACTTTAACTTAAAATGCAGAGCCCGAACTACACTCTGGGGCTTTGCAAGGATACAAAATCCACAAGACATAAAACCCTTTGGTTAATATGAACTGGAAGATGTTTAACCCTTCTCTGCTAATTGTAATGAAAGAGTCGGAGAGATGTAAAAACAGGGGGGCTGATGTATTTATTTATTAAATTTCTCAGTGTTTTCTAATGTTTTGATTATCTAACATTTACACCCCTTTGCCCTTTTAATGCGCTTGGCTAAACGTACCACTGTTATTGTCTAACGTTCGAATTTGTAAAAGATGAACCTGTCTGTTGGTTAAATCTTTGTTTGACTAAAAGAGGATTAATGTTTGAATTTCCTGAATTTCCAAATCCTTGCAACGATACAGTTGATGAAGTGTTTTAAATAGATTTCCACTCTGATATACATGTCTTTTTATTGAAAGTAAATATTGTAAAAATCAGAAAGGGCTGCCTACTCCCACAGTTGTGGCATACCCGCATTAGAATTTTCATAGAACTACTAAGGGCAATCAGACCCTTTTCGCTGAATATTTTAAACATTGTACATGTAAAATTTATGCCTAATTTGAATACTTATTAGCTGCCTAATCTCAGAGTATTAGCTTTGTTTTTGCCTTGTAAAATTAATCACTGCGTGTATCATATTTTCCATTTCTATTATTTTTCTTCGCTGATGTTCGTAAGAGTGGTTAAGAAGGGCTGTTTGTTCATAAACACATCTGGTGCTGCTGTTGTTTACTGGGCTACAACAGCTGCCCTCCTTTATGTTAACTGTGTTCGTGTTTGGGTTTTTTGCATCCTGTTTATTTTTGACCAGACCATCTTTAAATAACTCATCTTTTACTATTTTAACTTTCTCCACACAATATATACTTTCACTTTATCTTGTGGGCGCTTGTTTGTGTTAATTCTTACAGGGTTTTGATTAATATCCCGTGCATGTAGTTGAAGTTGTAATGATCCTTTTCCTGCCTTTTTCTTTGCAGAGAAAGGCTATAGCTCATACTTTGCAGGGGAACAAATAACTAAGTTCAATAATTAGGCTAAGCAGCAAGCTTTGTTTCTTTCCCCGAGTTTGCCTGCACATCCCTCTCCCTTCAGAGGTGTCTTTTAAAGTCACAGCTCAGCCAGGTTGTTGTGGGGACTCTTTCAGTACGTCGGGAGTGAGGGTGAAGGAAAGTGAGGTCCGTTCTGACCCTGCGAGAGCAGGAGAGGACTTTGGTGGCTCTGAGAAGAGACGTTGACCTTTCCACATTACAGATACAAAATGCGCCTTGAAATTCTGGTTTGTAAGGGCACGTTGGTTCTTTATTTACTGCAAAGATTTCAACTGATCTTGGCAGGACATCTCATTGCTATCCTGAAAGTACAGTATATTTATGCAGTGAAAATGATAAAACATTTATTACTGTAGAGAAGGTAATATGCATAATTTATGCTGTTTTTAGCACAATCATTAGTGATATTCTTGATAGATTTTATTTCCAGCTTTCATATCTAATACATGCCTGGAAAATTAATTTTATATCTTTCATTTATTTGCCTATGTTAAAATTGAGTTTTAAGTCATCTTCAAGTGAACAGTTTGATTGCTGCTCATGCATAAGCTTAATTACTTCCCAGGAAGGACAGTATTAAATGTTTTAAATGTCAGAAAAATAAATGAATATCAGCCGTTTGATTAAAAAAATAGGCAATATCTGACGTGTTTGCAGCAGGAGCTTTTTCTTAAAATGCCTCCGAGGCAAAATTTTATTTAGTCACAAAAAAGGAGAAGCCCATTATACTATTTATCATTGGTTGATACCATATGATTTGTAACACCCTTACAAAATTTTAATTTTGTATGATTAGCTGTGCATCATTAAACAACAGCCTTGCATAAGATATGCTGTAAAATTCTGACAGAATCAAGATAGTGAATATTTTAAATAAGGCTGTATAGTCATCCATGGTTGTCAAAGCTAGATAATAGGAAATATAGAGCAGTGTGTGAAATCGTGCCTTCATTTAAACTGGTTTTATAGGTAGACTTTAAAATGTAGTCGTTCATAAATGCTATTGACCATGCTGCGTGCATGGTGTGTTATTTTGGCCGTTAAATGTAAGCACACAAAGATTGCTTATAGAAACCATAATTCCGGTGATTAGTATCTGTATGAAAGCAGAGTTTGCATCGCATTTCTTGGTAAACGGCTCCGCGAGGCTTTTTTCTTCTTTTAAAGATGCTGTCTGTGTAATTGGCAGAGAGGGACATCTTGATAATGGAAGTGTGAAGGTGTAACGCCCGTGTTAATTGATACTTCTTAATCACTTTTAGGTATTAAGTCATGATGCAGGAATCTGCGACAGAGACAATAAGCAACAGTTCAATGAATCAAAATGGAATGAGCACTCTAAGCAGCCAATTAGATGCTGGCAGCAGAGATGGAAGATCAAGTGGTGACACGAGCACTGAAGTAAGCACAGTAGAACTGCTGCATCTGCAACAACAGCAGGTAAGTTTGTTTTGCTTCCTGTTTGTTTTTAAACAAATAAAGGGCTGTTTTCGGACGGGCACCCTTCCGCAGACCCTCTGTGCGTGCTGAATGTGAAGTGTCGTGCAAGTGAAGAGCGTGGGGCGTTATTTGTTGTTGTTTTTGTGCATGTTAATGCTGAAACGCCAGGATCCCGTTTTCGTGGCGGCAGCGTCTTGCTGATGCCGCTGCACACCGCCGCGCTCGCCTGGTGATTAAAATCCCGCAGCGTATTTAGAAAAGTTGTGCCAAAGCCTTGCAGTGCATGTTTTCAGAATCTGTTAGTTTACCGTGCGATGCGGTCGCGTAGGACGTGATGCAGAGCTTTCCACCAGAGGGCCACATTACTTGAGACTTCGCTTCGCTTGCGATGAATTGTTCCAAAGTCGGAGCTGGGGTGAAGGGACCAGAGTGACTTCTCACAATAAAGATGCTTTGCTGTCGTAGGTGTAAATAAAAAATGCCAGTTAGTTCAGAACCACTGAAATAAAAAAGAGCATGAGCCTGTCTGTGTGTGCGTGAGTATAATTTGGATGTGTGACCGTGGAAAATATGGGAAAAGAGAGAAGCAGCTTTTCTGTAGGTATGTTTCCATTCTCACATTTAAAACATTTTTTTAAGTTTGTCTGTTTGTTTTCTCAACGAGTTAATGGAGAACTGGTTTTATGTTTAAAACTGTAAAATTAAACTGTTGTCTGACTGCTGACGCCATCTAATTATGAGATGCAATCAGTTAATTTTTGTCACTGTAAGATTTCTTTTCCTTTTAAAACCTGCACAAACATAATTCCTTCTACTTTGTCTACCTAAAGAGTTGCCTCCCCATCAGGGGATGCAGGTTGTACTAATGCAGTGAAGCCCAAACAGTTTGTTTGGTAAACAACTGAGGTCTGATTCTGCAGAGTGCCAGTACCTGCTCTGAACTCCTGAAAGTCTTCAGTGTCTGGTCCTCTCATCTGCTGAGGCCACTCAGCACCTTTGGAGTTCAAACCCTTCATTTGTAAACACTGAGGTTTTTCATTACAACGTCAGGGGTTGCATTAATGGAGGGGAAGTTGTCTCCCGTAAGAGAAAACACTATAAAAATCCTGTTTTATAGAAATGTGTTTTAACATGATAGATAAACTGCATATGTACGGGCCTCTGAAATAACAGGTCATAATAGCTCTTAAAATTGACTCATTCTTAGTGCTGAATTAAGCAGTGTACACTAGCTACATCTATAGTTAAATATTTTAAATGGGGACAGAAAATGTGGAAGAATTAAATAGTTGAAGATTGAAATATGGAAAGTTGTTAAGGCTTAAATCTGTGCCTTGCTTCACATTCAAGTGTATTCTGTTTTAACAATTGAGCACTTACACTATTACAGTCTGAGGAAATACAGGTTTCAGTGTCTTCATTAAGTTCTTAGCAGGCTTACAGCTATATATATATACACACTATTATCTATATATGTACACTGTGCATATGTACTATTTTCATATAAAATTTTATATATATACACACGTATATTTAAAAAATTAATATTTTTTTCATTGAAAAGCATGCCATCACCTTTATTCAGGTGTTCAGATTATAACAGCATTTTAAAATCTTTATTGAGAGAGAGTGTATTTAATTGGTGAAAATGTTTAGAAAACTTAATTTAAGTGAAACACTTTAAAACACAAAAATACCAACAGAATAATGTGCCACTTACATGTTTCTGAAAGCAGCAGTCCTAGCCATTTGTAGCCAATTTGTCCATACAGTCACAGATTCCAGTAGATAGCATTTGCAAAGACCACAGAGAATAACAACTGAAGATGAAAATATCCAGTTGAGTACTAATAACAGACAGGTTCTGAGGGGACAGGCTTAGAAGTGACAATCTTTTCTTCAAAACTGTGATTAGATCTTAAATAAGCAGACAGGCAAAGTAAAACCATGGGTACAGTTAATAGGACTCAAGAGGCATTTTATGGTAGGGTCTGCACCATAGGATTTAAATACAACTTGAGTTAGGCATATAAATCCTTCTATAAAATATGTTGATGTGAAACATAAACACTAGTAAACATGCAGTAGGATGTCCTTTAGATAATGGGCATAGCTTTATGCTGCTTCTGCTTTTCTTCCTCTTTTTCCTATTTCTTTTTTTTTCTGTTTTTGACCAGATGTCTTTTGAAATATGATTTAAGAGGAAAATGATGGCTGGTTTTATTATTGTCACTGTAGTAACTCTCTAAAATGTTATTTTTAATACCCGACTTGCCTAACAAACTTTGACAAGTAGAAAAACAGAGCAAACCCCATTGTACCTGCAGTTATTATTCTTAAGATTTTTATTGTTTAAATATGTGCAAGATATAATGTACTGATGTCATAGTTTAACATTCCAGTTTTGGCTTCTCTGAGTCATTTTATTGGGAGCCTTCAAATAAACAGATCGAGTTCATTATAGCTTTTTCTAAAGGAAGCAAGTAAATGATTGCTGGTTTTAATACATTTCCTTCAGCTGGGCAACTACATAAAGTGATGCTAATGCTTAAGAATAGCTATATCAACTGAGTAGAATCACAAAATATGTTTTCTCTGTGGCATGAATATATACTGGGGAAAGTTAAACGTGAGAAATTTTAGACTGTGTACAAAGAGCAACTGGGCTAAGTTAAAAATTTTAAATTATATATGATTTGCATCTTGTTCAAGCATTATGATCACAAATTGGTGGATTTATAGAAAGTAAATAAGCTAAAATAATAGACTTCATTAGGTTCTTACAAGCAATTATATGGAGTTTGGCCAGTCCTGTTACTGGCTTGATGAACTATGTTGTTGTGATCTTTATGTAGAAATGAGAAGTTTGACTTAAATCAGGGAGTTATTCCTCATCCATGTATCAAGAGAGAATGACAGTATTCTATAATATATTGTAATATATACTTGGTGATAAATGGATTGGGTGCTGTCACAAGTCATCAGGTCGGCTTTGAAGATGTATGACTAGAACATGAGCAACTTTTTATCTTACTGTCGATATTTATCAATTTATAAATATTGCTAAAGTGAATGTGGATTTTTATTATGAAAATATGCTGCAGACTGTAATCTGCTCAGACTTGTTTCTTCTGCTTTTTTTGGCTTACGACGAGACATTCTCTCTCTCTCATATGTACATTCGTATACTTCTGAGGTTTTCACTTTCATTTTTTTTCTTGTCTGTTAAAATCAGTGTTTGATACTAGAATGTATAATACATGGAAAAAGCATATCCTTGATTAAATACATTGACAGATTATTCTGCATTAGATGTAGAATTTTATTTTTATATTAAGTTTGTAGAATTAATTGTTTGTGTCACTAAGGTCAAAATAGTTGCTAAAAAACCATGATTGCTTTACAGGGTAGATTTGAGCTTGCATTTTGAGTATTCATTAAGTCAGTTCTACCAAGATAATCTTTTTAAATGTTTTATGGGAATTTATTGGTAAGAAGCTGTTTCAGTTGACTATGTCTAAAATTATTTTTCCAAAGCAGTTTTTTTTTTTTTTTAGTATATCACTTACCACTAGCATTTCATTGATACAAAATGTAAGTAATATTTACAAAAGCAAAAACATGATGATAGCATGCAGGTTATCCTGGTGATGTAGAAATAGAAGTTTTGCTTTCTTACATGTTTCGTCCTTGTGATTATTTAAAAGCAGGAGGAAAATAAGAGGGGGGGCTTGTTTGTTATGTGAAGTCTTAAATTAGGCGTTAACAAAACACTTATGTTTCTGTATGTTGGATGGTAGTTCTATTTACTAAACCACTAGAAACTTGCATTTTGACTCCTCAAAAGAGCAAATGAATTTTCTCACACTGTACAGGTAGTTTGTATTAAAAGTGACATAAAAATCCACAACTGCTACACCTGTGGCAAAAGCTGATGCCATAAAGAATACTGATGATACGTAACTTAAATATAAAACTTCTTATTGCATCTGATTGTACTTACTGTTACTTAAATTGACCACATATATTAGGAAAAAATGCTTCTTCCTAGCGATTTAAAACTGAAGTTGAAATTCTGGAAAATTATGCAGAAAGGTTACAGGCTTTCACATCATAAGCTCAAAAGGGGCAAAATTCTGTTAGGTTCATTCATATGGCTTTCAGAGCAGGTATTACCAAATTAGCAGATGTTGAAGTAGTAAGGGAAAGTATATTTTCCAAATGCAGGCACACACGTGGTCTAATCTTTAATTTATTAGGGAATTGGAAATGTCGTAAAATACCAGAATGTAATTTCACAGAAGTCCTGATATGCCCCTAGAACTATTTTTGATTATTAGTCTTTATTTTTTTGACTCCTGCTGTGTGCTTCTTCAAACACAATTTTTTTTCCCTGGGTGAATGATTGGAGACTAAATTCAAGCGCAGGCATCCACCTGCCTACTGACACTACAGCTGGAGTAAAAAGAACGTATTTCACTTTCCATGTCTGCCATCCCAGTCTTTGATGAATCCCTTACCATCTGATTTTTCAAAAAAATTGAGCACATGGCTGTTGAATAGAACTGCCAGGAGGTGTGTCTCACTGGCACCACGTATCAATATTTCCACCTGTGAAATGGGGATGATAATATGTAGCTGGCTTACAGATTTATTTATGAAACAATTCATAAGCTAAACTCATGAGTACATGAGCCGGACAATCTCATTAAATATTATAAAAAACCCATATCACATCTCAATGTGTTATTTTGACGTGAATATAGATTTTCTGACATAAGGTTTGTAAAAAGGCCTACTGCTTGTGCAACTATATAATTTTCTAGAGCTTTCCTTCAAATAGATGTGAGCATAAAACACAATGTTTATCACAAGAATATATATTAACACCCAAATGCATATATTAGGACAGACTACTATAATATCACAGAAAGATTTTTAGAGAAGCACATTGAAATAAGCCAATATACGTTTTTCCTAAGGATAAAATTAGTCGGATAG